TTAAATGACTAACAAATTTAACATTTACATGACTTTTATCTGCTCCAGTATTTATGAGGACAAGAAGATTCTTCTTAAATCCTTCTTGATTTATATATCTTGTCTTAATGTAATATTGCGAACTTGATGATTCAACAATATTTAAATTCTTAAGTCTGCTTATCTTGGAGTCTTGTCTAGAGGGAAATCTTGCAATAAGATTATCTCTCCTTCTAAGCTGACACTATTTCTTTTTATTAGTTTTCCTTCAGAATTAATTTCTCTAACTTGTTTGTGGAAATCAAGCATTATCTGTTCTTGTATAGTAACTTCATGTTCTTGGTATTTCCTAGGAGGTATATATTGTGCTAATTCGTCAAAATCTTTATGTATGATAATGTTATAAGTTATCTTTCTTATATTGTTATAATGGCTAGTACTAAAAGCAAAAATTGATTTTATGCCTATACTAATAGCCTTACTTCTTCATAACATTTTTAAATTTCAAATTCTATAATATAGATTGAAACTTTGGTCAATATTTTCATCATTTAATGATATTGCATAATTTGGTTTTACTATAAATATTATCTTTTGATAAACTAAGTTTCCTACAACTGTTCCTAATAGAGCATTTATAGGATCTTGTAAGATTCTATTGTTTATACAGTAGATTTCTATTGGTACGTTCATACCTTCTCTAAATAATTCTTTTACCATTATCTGTACTCCTCCCAATTCAATGCATTTTAATTTGTTTCTTACGTTTTCTGGAATTTTGGATAACTTTTGTTTTACCCATTCTTTTGTAATTATAGGAATCCTCGCTTTTCCTATAGTATCTTCTATATTGATAGACATTTCTTTATAATTCATATTTACAATTGTTTTATTTACTCTTGGTAAAATTTCTAAGAATTCTTGATGGAATACATCTTTTTCTTGTAGGTCTAATATCTTCTTAGTGATTCCTGTGTATTTTTTAATATCAAAAGTAATTTCTTTATTTGTACCTTCTATAGCGTCTCCAACTTTTTCAGTTGTTTCTATTTCTATTTCTATTTCTGATTGTTGTATCTCTTGATTCATATATACTATCTCCTCATATTCTTCTTCTGACGAGGATGTATTTAATTCATAGATGCTACTGCATTCACTACTTAGATCTTCAAAATATTCAATTGGTTCTATGTCACTATCTTCTTGGAATTTTTCATAAATTCTAAAACTTTTTATATTCTGTCCATCTTTCTTTTTAGGACATTGAGGGGCAATGTGTCCTTCTTTATTACAAATAAAACATCTACATTTCTTAATATTTCTTGGGTTAAATTTTTTGTTCCAATTTCTTTTCTTAAAATATTTTTTATGTGGTTTAAAATTCATCTTCTTGAATTTTTTGTAGTTTTTTGAATTTTCTTTTTTATTTCTTATATGGTTTATATTTCATATTATGGCATTCAAATTGTTCAATTTGGCCATTATCTTTGTAACAACATAATGAATTCTTTCTTATTTTATATACTTTTTTATTTTCTAAAACTTCTCTACGCCATATGCCTATCATTCTCTTTGTAAATTCAATTCTACTTCCAAAATTATCTATTTTTACTCCTTCCTCTTTCCTAGAAGTAATAATTTTTCATATTCTTTTAATAATTTAATTCCCCATGAATTGGTAATTTAGTAAAATAAGACCTTAATATAGGTTTATTTTTTTAATAATCTCCTTAATTTAGTATATAGTATATTTCTTCAAATTTACATGTGTATCTTTCTAACTCACACATATCACATATCTTTAAATTTTTCATTGCTATCATTCCTTGATTATATTCATCTTGTTTTCTTTCTTTATCATTAGAAGTATACCTATCTCCTAAAAATTTTGTTCTTAAAATTTTTTCAAAATTTTTTAATATCTCTTGAATATTTTGTTCATTTAAAGAATTTCTATTATCTAATACTTCAGTTCTACCTGCTCCATACTTTATTATTCCTTTAATAGCTTTTGGTAATTTTCTCCACCATTCAGAAACAATTCCTTTAAATGTATGTTCGATAAATCCAAAAGTTGTATATGTTTCCCATTTATTAAATTGTATTGCTAGATCTGTACTTTTCATCCATGTTTCAATACCTTTATTTTTATCTACACAGTCTAGATCTAACCATATACCTGTTGTACGGATTGGTTCATTATAAGATTTCATTGGGTTTATTCTTTTTATGGACTGTTTTCTTACATTTCCAGTGTATCTTTTCTATATTTTTCTATATTGGTAAATACCATCCTTATCAGGTATTGGGATACCATAAGGATAATCTTGTTCTTCATCACTACTAAATTCTACTTTTATTTCTGGCTTGAAGATGGATTAGTATTCATCTTTGTATTTTCCATTTTTTCAATTAATTCTTCTAACTGTTTTTTATATTCTTCATACTCTTCACCTGTAAATTCTAAAAAATTTTGTTCTATTTCTTCTACATCTGTAATTATATATTTTTTTTCTTCATATTTTTTCCCTTTATTATTTTCCTTTTGTGTTATCCTAAAATCTTGAGGTGGATTAATTATAATCCTATCTTTTCCTTTAAAATTTTTATCTAAAAGAGCATTTCCTACTTGTAGATTATGTTCTAGATTTTCTAATCTTTTGTGTATATCCTCAAAACTTTCATTTGTGGTGTTTTTAGGTAAACAGGGATAACTATGTTTTTATATGTCTTTTAACTTTTTTCAAAAATTCTTCAATTATATTTTCTTCATCTACTATATTTATCATTATGTTTGGTTCGTAACATGGCTCTGATACCATTTCATCAGAGTGTGCAGCGGAGGGGTTAAGATTTTTTAGCCAATTAAAATCTTCATAAGTATATAAAATATCACAATAGAATTTATAAAATTCACTATTTTTTATTAATACTTTTTCTTTAATAATTATATTTAGTTCTTTAATTCTTCTTCTTAGGTTAAGAATTAGTTTTAATTGTACTATTATCTATAGAAATATTTTTATTTTTTAATTTTGGATCTAAATATTCTGTAAAGAATCTTTTCAGATCTTCTTCTAAATAGTTTGATTCACTTTCTATTGCGTTTTTTAGATCAATAAAATTTTGTATAATATTTGGGTTTAAATTTATTAAAGATTTTTATCTATATTTCATTGAGGACCTGATTGAAGGTTTTTATACATTGTAGTGGCTTTGGTTGCAATTTCTCAATGAGGGGTATTTTTGAAAAGATTATTGTTCAAAGGCTATTTATCAAATGATTATATTTTTTTTTGTCTAATCTCACAAAACTACCTTCTATTTAGGTTATTTAGAGGTATTTCCTCCTATTATTTTCCATGAAAAATGGAAATCAAATTCCAACATTCACTTTTTGGCTATTTGATAGCATTTTTTTTCCCAAGTAATTGATTTTCTTGGTTTTCCTTGAGCTATTGCTACAACTTTTTTTTTTTTTTAAAATGGAAACAAATTCTATCCCTAAATGTTAAAAAAAAAATTAATTGAAAATTTTCATGTAAAACAAAATCAAACGAATATCAAAAGATATATGATTTTCTTGGTTTTTTTTTCAATGGGAACAAATTTTGTCCCCAATATCAATAAATTATATCCCTTTAATTGATAAGTTTCATGTAAAACAAAATCAAACGAATATCAAAAAACACTTTTATTTCAACATTTTTCACATAAAAAATTATACCAATCAAATATAATAATTGATAATTCCCAGTAAAATAATTTTTAAGCAATTCAATTATCTGAAATTCATTTTCTTTTCACCCAAATTCCAGCTTTACAATCAAACGGATCCTAATGATTATTGTTTCTAATTAACAGTCGAAATTATAATTACTTTAGTTGTCAACAATTACTTTCATGAACAATAATGGGCATGATACTATCTTAATTGAGATCAAATACATTTCAAATCCAAAATATCTTCAAAATTCGAAAATTTCTATCATTCAATACTTTCCACCCAATAACGATAAAGCATTCATATCTCAAATATTTAATGATTTTTCTCATTCCCTATTAATCTTTATTAACCAACAAAAAAGATTACTTATTCAAATCGCTCCATCACTTTTGCCAAAAAAAAAAAAAAATATATTACTCATTTAGTTCTTTAGCAATTCTACACATAGAATTTGGCTTCCAAAATTTATATAAAAGACACTTGACAGCAATATGTCGAATACTGACCCAAAAAAAAATAGCATATCAAACTAGATGTTGCACCTGCATTTGGTGCAATTCTGTGAAGTATTTTTCCGCTACTGCAATTTTCCCTTTTTCTATCTATTAAAAACATAAGACATTCAAAAAACTTTCAAAAACATTTTTGACGAAATATTTTTTGTTGGTAATTTTTTTAAAAAAATTATTATAGAAAATTGAAAAAATTAAAAACAAAATAATTTATGTTTGTAATATATTTGGAATATAGCTAAATATTTGTCAATAAATTATTAATTAGTCACGTGCTTGATATTTAATCAGTTCTTAAGTTGGAAGAAAATTCGAATTGTAAACAACTTTGTATGGTCCCGTTATGCAAACAATTATGAGGAACAATTATGATTTACACTGTCTATTAGAATAATCGGAAATTCTATGTTGATTGAAGTGTTTAATTTTAAATTAATATTATCGATTTATTTCAAATCAGAAATTATATGGTAAGTGGAAACCAATAATTAATTTCCCGCTAATCAAATCTCAAGAAAATTCAAAGGGTGGTAGACAACTTTGTATTGTGATTTTTGGAAACTCATTTATTTTCTGAAAAGATTGCTCAGATTTGATCAGATTGTGTATCCTAATAAGGCTAGAAAACCCTAATTCATCAAGGATCAGGAAATCAAAAGCAAAATTGTATAAATAAGAAGCCAATGCATATATTAGCAATTTAGCAGTCATGCATTGCTTCACCGTCAAAATTAATCAGATTATATTATCTTCTCTTTTCTCACGTCAACAAATATAAAACCATGGAATACGAACATGAATTTATGGAGATATTCTCATGGCTACCTGTGAAATCAATATACAAATTCTCTTCACTTTCCAAACAATTTAGCCAGATACCATTCGATAATTTCTTTGTTAAAATGCAATGCGAAAAGACGCAGTTGGTTGGCGATAAAGATTTCTTTATTCAACTGGATACAAATTCAAGGCCGCCGTACTCCAAAATTCTAAAGTTTGATTCATGCATTAGAAACTCCATAGATGGCTTACAAGTGCCTTACAGTTCTCTTGAATTTATTGCAAGAACTGGTAGGGTTCTTGCTTCGAGTAATGGCCTGGTTTGTTGTCAAAAATTCATCGACGACATAAACCCATTATTTATATGCAATCCAGCAACCCAGTATTGGTTGGAAATATCCTACCCAGATGGTTTCAACTCTGAAAGAGACTTAAGAATAATTTTTGAATGCAATAATGTTGATAAGATTACTGATGATTTCATGTTAATGTCAATAATGTGGCCATCTCATTGGGGTTCTGACCCCCTCTGCAAAATCTACTCACCCAGAGAAAAAATTTGGAAAGATGGAGGGAGAATAAAGATTGGCAGAGGCCGAAATCTTTGTCACAAAACAGCATTGTGTCAGAATGGAGTGGTCTATCTAATTTCCGACACCGGTCGATATTTTCGAGAAGGCCCATTCTTTTGGCCATATATTGTGGCTTATGATGTCGAGAACTGTGTTACAAAGTTCTTGAAATTGCCTGAAAATTCAAGAAGAGGTATTCATGATCGAGGTTGCAGAATAAGTATTTTTAAGTGGGGAAATTCAGGAAATTCTGTGCAGTCTATATGTTTAGTCAAATTGAACAAGAATGTGTTTAGCATCTGGGTGCTATGTGATGAAGAAAAAAATTCATGGCATCAGGTTTTTGAGATGCGCGTAGAAGACATGGGATTGGAGGGGTCCGATATAGTGGTGGCCGGTTTTACTGTTCTGAACGGAAAATTTCTGCTCATTGCAACGGATTTACTGGTTTATCAGTACAATTTGTCGAGTGAGAGCAGTGGAAAAGTCGAGAAAATTTGTGGGCATGCATGCGGGGGATACGTATTTTTCCATTCCTTTTCGAGTACCCTTCGTTCATGTGGAGATGGTGCAAAAAAATTATCTGCACGTTAGAACCTAGTTTTTGTTATTTGTACTTTGACTAGGTTTAGTTTTCAGCGTTTATTATTTTTGTACACGATGAATTCAAATTGGGTTTGCGACTTCTAATTTTTACGTTTCTTTTAATTACTTATTTTCAGCCTAATTAAATTTTATCTTATTTTCTGAATGAAGTTTAAATATAGATCAAGTTCAACTAGACTTCTGTCAAATAAATCATAATCATATATTAAACAGGAAAAAATGGATAATCCTATTTGTACGAGAATATGAAGTCCTAAAAAGTAATAGCATAAGGATAGCTAATCCTATAATGACAAGGATCAATCATGCAATTTAATTTGACGAGTAGCAATGTTGGACATGTCGTTGATAATACCGTTAACGATGTTACTAAATATGTTTGTTCACATTTGCATTAATTCCTCCGATGTCTACGTGTTACTAAACAAAATGTAATAATTGATTAGCTTGCCAATACCGGTTATAAAGAGCACAAAATTAGTCAGCTGAATAATCGTATAGCTTAATGTGTAATTTTCACAAGATGTCAAAGCAAAATATAATAAATCGGTTGGTGTCCCACAAGATGTGGATGAAGTGAAATATTTATTTAAATTTAATAATTGGGAAGATAGTTGGGTTTATTTAATCCAACTTCAAAAAACTTTGTAATATTTTATTAATGTTCAGATTTAAGAGAGTCTCGGTGCAGATCAAGTAATAATAATTCGTGTATTCCTCTCGCTCAAACCAGATTTCACGAGAGGAGATTGGCGAACAATTTACTACTACTCTTCTAATCGCTCTGTTGGGATATATGTGTCAAAAGTATTACCGTAATAAAATAAACATTTCAATTTTTATTGAATAAAAATATATTTTTTTAATTTATTTTGATTAGCGGACTCAGCCTTTTTCGGGCAAATTTCATGAAGTTTGTAAGCCATATTCAGAACATTGTATTTAATATATTTAAAGTAATTTTTTTGTTATAATTTGAATGTGACCCGAATTCTTCAATGAAGATAATTGAGAGGGGGGTGTCCTCAATTGAGATTGTGATATATTTTAAAAATCTTTCTAAATTTAGGTGTACTCAATTGAGATTTTAATGGATTTTAATAAAATATATTAAAAATTGAGAGTTTTCAATTAAGATTTCAATGAAATTCTTTAAAATTTAAGTATCGTCAACAACTAGTAAATTTAGTTAGGTTGTTTAGCCTCGTTATAAGTTGAAATTTGTGTTGGACTTAAAGAGATCAAGATAAGTAAACTTTTGGGCGTTCTATTTAATCTACAATTCTACTTTCTAGGGTTTGAATTGTTCCCTATATATATTAGTCATTCTCTACAATTTAGTTAGGTTGTTTAGCCTCGTTATAAGTTAGACTAATTATAAATATAAAATCGTTATATTCTTTCTCCATATTATAATAAAATTCATTAATTCCTCTGACAATTATTTTGTTCTTTTGTTCTTGCGATCAATTATTTCATATTGTGGCTTAACCCAACAAAGTGGTCTGAATTATAATAAGTGGTATCAGAACTTTTGGTTTAGAAATTCTTGGGAGAATCAAGATTTTGATCGAGTTAATAGCTCAACTTGATTTTTCGTGATGGTAATTATGAAGTTTGATATTCCATTGTTGGATCGCAGTACAAGATTTTCGTTATGACAGATTAGGAAGCGAGTAATGCTCTATGGGTTTGATTTTCTTGTGTTTTTTGCCCACTTCATATTTGTTGTTTAAAGATACGATATTATATAGGGCATATTCGATAGTGATTATGAAAATTGATTTTTTGACCGTTAGAAAGAAAAGTAAGTCTTAACCGTAAGTGAAAAAATAAAAAATGATGGCTTGAATAGTAAAATAATGGTAAAAAAAAATTAAAATTTTGGGGTGAAAATTTGCTACCAAACAGGGGCATAGTCTTGATCTCACCATTGAAAAAGTTTATGATGCTCTATTTTCGAAGGAAAAAATGAAATATATTGTTGAGGTTTATCGAGATGGCCTTGTTTTTTATGGTGGTTGTGCAAAGAGCAAATTAAGGTCTAATTTCAAAATTTATTACAAGAATTCGAGGCACTTTATTAAGGATTGCTATAAGTTGAGTAATAGAGAAATTTTGGCTGCAACTTTTTTGAAGGAAAACCAATTAAATACTTCTTGTGAAGCCATTGTTGAAACTGTTCATAGTGATGGAGAGCTTTTACATACGTCTGACTACAACTCCAAACTTGATGAGGCTAGGATTTTGAATATTGCTTACACTTTTCATATGTCACCCAATCGGGAATTGTTTTCACCATATGAAGAAGTTACAAAGGGTATTGTGATGATCAATAATTATACACCTTATCGGATAACTGGTATTGGTCGGGTTATAATAGAGATGTTTGATGGGTCGGTTAGAGCACTTGATGCACTAAGAAATGTTCTAGACCCGAAGAGAAATCTTATCTCCTAAGTACTCTTTATTCAAAAGAGTACAAGTACATTGTTGAAGGTGGAGTCCTGAAGGTTTTTAAAGGAGCCCATGTTTTGTTATATGTCTTGTAGTGTTATACAGAATTTTTCGAATAATCGACATATTTAAAAACTCAGGTAGATTTAGAGATGACTTCTGTACCATTAGAGTCTAATTTGAGGTTTCCTTTAAGAATACATCTCAGTTGAATTTTGAAGATATGAGTCCGTCTTGCCACCATTATCGACGGAGTTATCATATTCACTTGCTAGAAATAGACAAATTTTTTGCCATAAAATTCCATATAGGTAATTTTGTTGATTTTATTGATGGTTTGAATGCGATTAAGGATATCGATTCTAGCCAAGATCATTCTTTTGATGCATCCAGTTGTGATTCTGTTACAGGGCTTGTTTCAGCCTTATTTGTCGGTCAATAGATCACTTTTGCCCCTAGTTGAAGTAGCGGAGGTGGATAATATTTCTAGTTGGAATTGTTGATGAAAAAGTTCATTTGTGCTTTTCATTGAAGAGTTCAAATTTATTACTTGCAGTGAAATTTGTGTCAGGTGGAGATTTTTTTCAAGTTTTGTTCATTGCAGTGGAATTCGTGTCAGGGTGGAAATTGTTAGAATTTGAGTGTGACCCGAATTTTTTGATGAAAATGATTGAGAGTTCTAACTTAAGTGCACATGATGAGAAATTCTATTTAGAATGCTTTTGGGATTCTATTTGAAGTCTAATGGACAAATTCTAATTGAAGTTCTATTTGAAAGTCTTAATGGGAGTTGGAAGTTGAAAGTCTAATGGACAAATTCTAAGCTTTATAATAAAATCTCATAATTTCTCTGTCAATTATTTTGTTCTTGTGTTTTGCAATCAATTACTTCATATTGTTGCTTAATCTCTTATTTTCTCCAATAATGTGGTCCGGATTATAACATTTTTAAAGAAACATTTGCTTTTCCAATACTTGAAAGCAAAAATAAAATAAATAAGAATTTAAAGGTCGAATTGTCGGAATGCAGGTCATATTACCCTGACTCGTGCCCCCACATAGATGCAAACCGTGGGTTTGCGTAAAATGACTTTCTTTTTTTCCTTTTATTGTTTTAGATGGAAAAATGAGAGAGTTCATTTTGCCCTTTCAATTTTTTGGTCTGATTAAATAGGTAGACCTCACCCGAGACTTTGGACAGTTATCGCCTGAAAGTCCTTGTGCTGTAATTGAAAACGTTTGCGATAGAAGTGTCAAAAAGAGAATGTTTGAGCCTTAACTTTATTTATTATTATTATTTTTTTGATAGCTTAAATATCCAATCTTCACCTGACTAATTCTGAGAAGTGACGACATTTTTCCCTAGTTTACCACCCAGGTAAATTTATGCGGTCACAACTTGTACACACTTGGACCAAACATTCGGGATGTGGTTCTCTTCCCTATAAACTTCCCTAAAAATAGAAACGTAAGGATAACGATGCAGAGAAATTAAAGTTGGGGACAAAAAGGGTAGAGCATGGTTGAGAACAACAACGGTAGCTATTAGTCAAATTAAATTGCATTGTATAAATCACATGCTTAAAATTTACGAGTGTTATAAAATTAATTTTTTTTAGCACGATTAAAATTTTATTCACGTGTTAAACTTTGAATGAATGAATGATTTATTTTAAAACTATAAATTTTATTATGTTCCCACTATTAATCATTACAAATAAATATATCAAATTCGAAGCATTGCCCTCTTTCTATGTTCCCGTTGTGGCAACCAATTTTTTCACATTACTTTGCTCAGATTTTATGATAATTACTTATCGACATTATTACATTAAATCTAGTCTTTCACACGTGCGTTGCACGAGTTTTGTATTTATTATATTTTTATTAGCATCAAAATTATAGATTTTTCAAAACTGGTTGAAGATTCGAAGTATTTGGTGAAATGTAATAGTTTGGTTCATTACATTATCGCAGGATGCATGGAGATTTCTTTTTTGTTTTTTATTTTTTTTCCTTATTTATTTGTTTTGTTCATATTATAAATATTTTTTTCGATTTAAAATCCTTTTTAATTCTTTTTTCTTTATGAAAAAACTTAATTTTTTTAATTTTAATTAAATAATATTTATATGTTCTTTATTTAATTTTCGCAACATTCTTTTGTTTAATTTGTTTTGTTTTTATTATATATTTTTTGAAGATTGTTTTAAAAAAAAATCTTCATATTATAAATATTTTTTTTTTGATTTAAAATTCTTTTCGTTCTATGATTCAAATTCTTTGTTCTTCATATTATAAAAAAAAGCTAAATGATTTAACAAATTAAAGATATTGGTGTCAAAATTGTAGATTTTTCAAAACCAGTTGAAAATTTGAAGTATTTGGTGAAGTCCAATCATTTAGTTTATTGGATTATCATAGGATGCATGAAAATTTCTTTTTATTTTTTAATTTTTTCCTCATTTACTTATTTTTTATTTCTTTTGTTCATATTATAAATATTTTTTTCGATTTAAAATCCTTTTTAATTCTTTTTTCTTTATGAAAAAAATTAATTTTTTTAAATTTTAATTAAATAATATTTATATGTTTATTTAAGTTTCACAACATTCTTTTGTTTAATTTGTTTTGTTTATTATATATTTTTTGAAGATTGTTTTAAAAAAAAATTCTTCATATTATAAATAATTTTTTGTTCGATTTAAAATTCTTTTCGTTCTATCATTAAAATTCTTTTTTCTTCATATTATAAAAAAACTAGATGATTTAATAAATAAAAGAAGAAGAAAAAATTGTAGGCAAAAATTAAAAAAAAAAAAAGTTATTATAAATTTTTTTAAATTAAATTGAAATAATTAAAAATAAATTTTATGTAATTAAAACTTTAAAAATGATAAAATGAAAAGAATTTTAAATCGAAAAATAAATTATTTATAATACGAAGTAATTTTTTTAAAAAATATAATAAAAATAAAACGAATTAAGAAAAAAATTACGAGAATTAAATAAAGAATTTATAGATATTGTTTAATTAAAATTAAAAAAAATTAAGTTTTATCGCAAAAAAAAGAACTAAAAAGAATTTTTTAAATTAAAAAAAATTATTTACAATATGAGCAAAACAAAATGAAAAAAAAAAATGCTCTCTCCATGCTACTGTGTGTAGATGAAGAATTTCGCTTCATCCACACACATTAGAATGTGTGTGGATGGATGGAGAGATTTCTCTCCGTGCATGGGGAAAATTTTTTTCCTTTTTTTTATTTGTTTTCTTTACAATGTAAATAATTTTTTTAAATTTTAAATTCTTTTTAGTTCTTTTCTCTTCAGGATAAAGCTTAATTTTTTCAATTTTAACTAAATAGTATTTATATATTCTTTATTTAATTTTCGTAACTTTCTTTTATTTTGTTTTCGTTTCATGATACAACGTCATTTTTTATTTCTAATAAATAATATTTAATTTTAATTTTAATTATTACAATTTAATTAAAAATTTTATAATAACCATTTTTTCGCCTAAAATTTTTTTCTTTAATTTATTAAACTATTTGATTGCAACAATGGAATTTGGGTACAAAAAAAAAACGAATTCTAGGAATTTGTTTTTCTGAAAAATTGTCAATTAAATGTGTTTGATTAATATAATTTTTTCACTTAAAAAATGTTGAAATTTTAGATTTTTTGGTATTCATTTGATCTTATTTTTCATGAAAATTGTTAATTTAAGAGATAAATTTTTTATAATTGTTCATAGATTTCGTTCCCATTGCTGAAAATTAAAAAATAATAATAATAAAGCTGGAAACAGAATTCCCAACAAAATGCACGTGTGGGGGAAAATGTTGGAATGGAATTCCCTAAAAAATATTGCAATCAAGCACTATGGCTAATCAAACAGGCTTCGTTTTTTATTTGTGTTGGTGTATAATGATAGCTACAAACTAAATGATTTAACAAATTGAAGAAAAAAAAAGAATTTCAGACAAAATTTGAAAAAAAAAATTACGGGCAAAAATAAAAAGAAACAAAAAAAGTTATTATAAAGTTTTTAAATTTAATTTAAAAATAAATATTATTTAATTAAAATTGAAAAAATTGAGTTTTATCGTAAAATAAAAAATTAAAAGGAATTTTAAATCGAAAAAAATTATTTATAATATGAAGAAAAAGAAATTTTGAAACAATTTAAAATATATATATAATAAAAACAAAATAAAAGAAATTTACGAAAGTTAAATGAAGAATGTATAAATTATTGTTTAGTTAAAATTTAAAAAATTAAGTTTTATCATAAAAGAAAAGAATTAAAAAGAATTTTTTTAAATCGAAAAAAAATTATTTACAACAAAACAAAATAAAAGGATAAAGAAGGGGAAAAAAAATTCTTCTATACACTCTGTGTGTTCCGCTCCATTAACAGAGGAACACACTTTGTGCACGGACACTTGGTTCCTCCATGCACGGAGTGTATAGCACTAAGAGTGAGTGCTACACTCATTACTTTCCATAATAATTAGACGCCAACTCTATGAATCATTTTACACTGCTCCGTTCAACTCAATGCAATACAAACTCGGTGTAGTCATTGTTATAAAGATTTTACCATAAAATTAGCTCAAGATAAGCTACAATCTGAGTGGAGGCATAAATAAGGTGGCTTTCTTTGCTGATTTCTTCAAGAAATGATGCCACTTTTGGTGGTGCTCCCACCTACTAACATTAAAAAACTATGTAAAAACATTCTTACACTACTGGAACACAAAGAAAAACAGAAAAATATATATGTGTACCTTTATAAAGAAGAACATTGAAGAAAAATGTGTATCTGTACAAATTATTCAACATGGTTACCTTTTGACAATCGATGTAGGCAAATACCAAATTAGGATAAAGAGGGTGATTAGCAATCTGGGCCTTGATTATATCTGAAATTTCTGATCATTTGATCTCATGATGAGTTTGAGCTGTTTGTATTAAACCCAGATGATAAATCCTCCCGTACTGTTGTTATCAATAGGAAATGAAATCGAGGAATGAAGTCTGCATAATTCATCCATAATTAATAGTGTTAATCGGACTTGCAGAGATATTTAAAGAAATTTCAATATAAATTCTATAAATCCATCAAAGATTTATATTAAAAATGACGTTGTTTTTGTATCAAGAAATTCATTGTTGATTTCTATAAGAGGATATATAAATATTATTTAGTTAAAATTGAAAAATTATGTTTTATTATGAAAAGGAAAGAATTAAAAAATTTTAAAATTGAAAAAAAATATCTATAATGTAAAAAAAAAAAAAAAAAAAAAAAAAAAAAAATGCCATAAGCACCAAAAAAAAAAAAGGTGGAACTAGGACATGAAAAAGAAAAAAAAAAAAAAATTTAAAAATTAAAAAAAAAATTTTTAAAGTAAAAAAAAAAAAAAAAAAAAAAACAAAACAATAAAATAAAATTTTTGCCTCCATGCACGGAGTGTGCATGTCTCCATGCACACATTGTGTGCATGGAGACAATGTCACCCAAGTCTCACACAGCGATTTTTTTAATTTTTTGTTGAAATATTTGTGTTGTTTATATTATAAATATTTTTTTCTTCAATTTTTTACTTACAAGTAACTTTTTACATTTTAAAAATATTTTCTATCTTATTATTACTATTTTTATATTTTAATAATTCCATACGGAGATTTAGATTTGAGAATTTTTTTTTTTTTGCTGTATAGTTTTACGTTATAAATATATTTTTTTTCAATTTAAAATTCTTTTCTCTTCAATTTTTTACTTACAAGTAAATTTTTACATTTTACAAATATTTTCTATCTTATTATTAGTATTTTTATTTTTTAATAATTCCAAACGGAGATTTAGATTTGAGAATTTTTTTTTGCTGTGTAGTTTTACGTTATAAATATTTTTTTTTTCAATTTAAAATTCTTTGTAATTCTTCTCTCTTCAAATGTTTTACTTAAAAGTAATTTTTTGTAAAATATTTTCTGTCTCATATTATCTTTATTTTTTAATTTTTTTAATATAAAAGTGATTTTTTTTCTTATATACCTACTATATGTATCTATATAAGAGTGGTTGAGCAAGGAGTGGTGGGAGGTATGGAAATTGCGTGTTGCAATATTTTCTTACAGTATAATAAAATATATATCAAGCAAAGCAAACGACATTGTTTTGCTCCCCCACCATAATAAAAAAAAAAAAGAAAAGAAACTACAATGAAATAAAATGGATTAAGTCACTGTTGTTTTCTACAGTAACTTCACATTCTCCTTTTTATATAGTAGGAAAGCAATTCTTAAGTCTCTTTCACAATTGAAACCACCTTGTTGGGAAATTTCCAACTAATATCAGGTTGCTGGATTCCATATAAATAATGGTTCTTTTGTGGTTGACTAGTTGCAAAAATTCAAGAAAACTCTTTAAGACACTGGTATGCCATACAATGGTATATTTGGCTAAATCTGTAACATTTCCTTATATCAAGAACTGTCCATTGCTGCCCACATAAGCAATGAAAAAAAATATCAAACTGAGTGAGTTGTAGCTACTTTCGTATTCAACTAAATTCCTCAATAGAACTCAGATTCTTAAATATTTTAACTTACAAGCACACGCAACAAATTTGTTTAATTTCAAATTGGTCGACCATACACAAACTGTGGTCAGCAGTAGGCAATTTAAAGCTGATAAATTCAATAGAAACTTTAAAGCAAGAATTTCGAGGTTAGGAAAAAGTACGATTGAAGCTTCGATCTTTATGGAAAGATTTTGACAGTTTAAAAAGGAGTAGGATTCGATTCATGAATTCTCTTCACGAGCCTTAAAGATAGTAAACCAAATCAAAAACTTGTCAAATTGACAATTTCAGAGTTGATCGGGTCTCTCGTAGCTCATAATAAATAGCTAATTTTAATTAATGAATAATCCTAAATAGAGAAAATACTAAATAAAAATAATAATTAAAAACTTAATATTCATCAATAGTAATAGTGCTTTTGAAATTTGATAAATGATGAAGTGCTAAAACGAAACCTTCCCATCAAAATTTCCATGTGAACGGAGTTCTAAACAAACATTAACAAAGGGACACCTTTCATTATGATCATTTTAAGAAGGCTCATTTGACAAATTAGCCAATTTAATACGAATGACCTAATACAAGACTTTCAAATAACCTATTGCTGTAGAAAAATATAGTGCAAGCAATTAAAAAGATATCTCCATGATTCATCAGCCTGAAAATGCATGACATTGCTTTGCCAACCACTGAAACTGAACTACAGAACTATAACCAACATGAGCTCAAAGTGCCTTCTACTTCGGTTCTTAAATTCAACGAATATAAATGTGATTCATCATAAATTGCCTCAGTCCTCGTTGAGGACTTCGTTGATGCTCAAAAGGCAATGAGTTTCACTGTGTTAGATATACTATAAAATGATATGTAGTACATTTAGAATGCATAAAGACATCTGAAGAGACTCCAAGATTGATGGAAGAATATATAGATAATGCTAAAGTTTGGAGTCAAGGGTTGTGCATAAGCATTCGATTTCCTGAAAATTGATGCATTGAGACAATGCATCTGTGAGCTTTCTCAAATCATCCAATGTGTGTACTGCGCTCAGAGTTATCCTTAACCTGTAAGGAGCAAAACCAATATGCATCAAAAGTTGATAGGAAAAATCAAAACTCCAAGTTTGTACTCATGTCCTCAACTGGCAGTGTCATCAAAATTTCCAAGTAGATTTCCAAACACACGCCAAAATAAAAGCTTCCCATCTTCAGTTTCCTGAAGGTACGTCTTCTAGCCCAAGGCTTTTGGACAAAACTTCTTACTCCAATAGGTTAGTGAGCTACCTTTTCTAGTTTCAGACAAGAGTCTTATCCAACTGTTTCTAACTAACCAACATGAGGAGATATTTTCTTAACCAGGAACTAGGTGCACAATATGGCAAAGGTGGCGAGAATTGCAGATAGGCACCGGACAACAAGATCTTAAATTTCATCTTTCATTTTCTCCCTTATGGAAGGACTAATCTACATGCATATAAATGTTTTGGAGTAAATAAGATGACCCTACACAATAATGTTTAAGAATTGAACCCATACAAGAATTACATCGACCTTGTTATCGAAAAACACAAGTGAACTGGCCCAAATAAACACATTCACACTACAAAAGAGCACCTAATTTACAGGCATCACAAATAGGACCACCAAAAGGATGAGCGACAAATTTTAAAGTCGTCATTAAAATTCAAAGGCATACAAATGCAACAAACCTGCAGGAGTTTGGTGGCACTGTTGGCGGCCTGATTGCAGTTATGTGAAAACCTAATTTCAAAAGGTGCCTGATACACAGTGATTACGACAGTTATGAACAACATCACTAAACTTACATGGCGAACCATAATGTCTGTGTGTGTGTGTGTGTGTGTGTGTGTGTGTGTGTGTGTGTGTGTTGAGAGAGAGAGAGAGAGACCGGCTAGCTTGTAGGGCCTTCCCTTCACTGCCCACAACAAGTGAAATTATAGGACTTGTGACAGGGATTCCTGTCAAAGCTTGGAAGTCTCTCACTCGCTTCCAGATAGCGATTCTACGCCATCTCTCCTCCTTTGCCACGCTGACAGCAGCTGCACAAGTTATATCAGAAAACAAGAAAATGCATCCTAATCAATTGCAGAAGGCCTCATTCAACACCCAATTAAGTTTTCAGTTTTATGTATATTAACCATAAACACGAACAGATATACTGTAAAACTTGATGATGGTATGTAAAGATGTTGCTTCAAAGGCTAAAAATTACAAGTGAGGGAATGCAAGATACTATGGTAGACTGATAAACCACGTAAAGGAACATTCTCAAAGTACAAAATCTAACCATGAGCTGCTGCAACAACAGGCACTGGTGTTGAAGTTGAAAATATAAAAGAACGTCCCCGTGATTGAATAAGCAGCTTCCACTTCTTGCTGTCCATTTGACATGTCAATGAAAAGGCATAAATGTTTCTGATATTTGGATAT